CACCTATGAATTCCACATCTAGATAAACACTCAGCAAATAATGATGGCACTAAGATCTTAGAAGCCTGTACAATAATATATTTCAAGCAATTTTCCCATAAAATGAAACATTTTGTGCTTAATGAGGTAAGTTTCCATCATCCAAGAAAATTTTATTCATGTGACACATCTTCCTTTTATCATGATGCTGGATTGATAAAGTAATTATATAAATGGAGATGCTTACTAAATTGAACTATGTAAAACAGAAATCCTAAGATTAGGATGATGAGTAAGTTGAGCCAAATGGCATTTCTCTGAAAAGCTGTTACAGGAAAAAAAGTGAAAAACAAGTAAATATAAGCTTCACCTCCAGAGCAGGGTATCTATTGCTAGATATTCAGCAGCAGCTGTGGAGCCACTGTATTGGTACAGAATTTAGAAAGGGAGTATCAGTACAGGGCTAGGGAACAACAGACCACATGTGGGGTTTGGTAGTAGTCTGCTATTATGCCAAGGAGAAAGGATGAAATTTTGTTGTAGACATCCTCAGTTCATCCAACAAGCACACTGAACTGCTCACATCTTCCACAGTGGCCCCTCTATCCTTGCATGTTCCTCTGCCATACAACTCCCAAACTATTTGTGCACATTTTTTTGTTAACAAATCAAACTTGGCTACAACGAACCAAATTACAGCAATGTCATTCACCTTTCAGTTTTTACCAGTTGGCAGTAATTAGCACAAAGGAGGAACCAGGAGCATTTTCTAGAGCACACTTTATTTTCCATTCAATCAAAAACTATCTCAGGATGATTTTTGAAGATCTATGAATTCCACCTCCATCTCTGCGTACAGAATGTAGACTGGCATGACATCCTCTACTTGCATCTAAGGACAACAACATTTACTATGCCAGGTTGGTGTAGCCTCTCTAGATTACTCTGTAAATAAACTGAATAGCAAGATTATTAGAACAATAGTACTCATAAGGATTGAACCTCTCAAAGTCTGATAAGGACAACCTCGCTGGCTCAAGACTCTCTATTCAACCACTGAGATGTCTTCTAAAGAATAGAGTGAACAGTAGTAATTCAGTACTACTTCAAGAAATCTGACAATCACACAATAGTCTTCTTTCATCACCCTCCTGGACCAAGATCCCTATTAAACTCCTCAAGCATGTGTGCCAAGTTTTCAGCAAGAGTGAACACTGGGCCCTCAATTAATATCTGATATCTTATTCGTTAATAGCCTAGGATTCAGGAACATAAAAAGATTTAGAGAGGTCTTTCCTGAAGGGGTATATTTTAATTCTAACAAGACCAAATAGCCATGTACCAAGGTATACAGAAACCCTCCAGATGGGTGATGGGCACAATTTTGAAAATCTCTAGCAAACTGCTTCATCTAGCTAAACCAAAATCAGCTCCAGGAAGATAATGTGTTAGTAGTAATCCTTTGCCGGATTTTATTCATTTCCCTTCATGCTAACACACCCCGACATTCAATAGTGATAAAATGGCACATATGGATAATGCTGTTTGGTATATGCTAACAATCTTGGCAGGTTTCCCTTTAATAAACCACTCCAGATGTTAGTTTCAGTAATTATGCCTGACATCATTCAGCTTTAGGAATGAAATACTGCTGCTACAATTTCTTATTTGTGTTTCTATGGATCATCTGCAAACATAAAGCCTCCACAGTACAGACAGCCCCATCGACAGGCCCTGCATAAAAACGTGCATAAATAAAAACCCAGCAACAGGACGATCAGCATGAACTGGAAGCTATGAAAACACAGAATGCTATTCGAAGTTTTCAAATAATTCTTATATGGTACATTTGCACCTCTACAGCTAATGAAACATTTCCACATTCCTATGTATGACTATTTCAAAATATGCCAGAAAAGTGACAAATCTGATTCAAATAATTATCTGTAATACAAATACAACAGAGTATCATACATGAAAACAAATACACTCTGGAAGCCTGTTTCTAGGAAAATTAAAATTTAGATACCATGCACTAAGATTTAAGTGTACTGTTAGAATCACAAAAAACATGAGATTGTTTTCATTTTCTAAAGGCCTAATTTGCAAAAAGATTTCTTATGATCTTATTAAGAAATAAAGTAAGTCAAAATAGATATATAACTCAGTGTCAGGATAGTAAGTTATGATTATTTGATTAAAGTAGAAAAAAACCCTGAAAAGTCATAGCTGATAGTAGAAGTGAGCCATTTTCTTGACTTTAAAATGAATCTACTTGATGAAGAATAATCAACCCAATCTTTGGGGACACTTAAATGTTCATGCTAAAATGCTGACATTAACCATGAAAAGGATTAAACTGACATCAAATGATTTCTGACATTAGAATATTGAAAGTATTAATAATGCTGTCAGTGCCATCTATGGCACCGAGAAAGAAACTTTTAAAACAATAAATTTTACAACGCAGAATTTATGCAACATTTTTAACCCACTTATCTTTAAATGATTATGAGAACAATGTCAATATTCGAATCAGAATCTACCTGATTTGTGGACAATATAAAGTGGAGATGACACTTTGACAGAAGGGTGACCATCAGTTGTGGGCCATACCACTTAAACTACCTTAACATGCAGCCTGGCACTAAGTGCCACTCTTCCCGCTAACTCTGCAGAAGCCAGTAGAGCAGGTAATTCTACAGCTAGTGCTCGACTTACGACCACGGTCGGGACCGCAGACCAGTCATAACACGATTTGGTCGTAAGTTGAGTAGGCTACATGTACAGTTGAAATGGTGCACGCAGAGATGGTAGTGCTGCCGGAAGCTGGTCCGCGCTGTCGTACGCCCAGCTGGGCAACGTTTGTGCTGCCAGACGTGGAGCAGTCGTGGCTAGCGATTGTGGTCATAAAGTCGAATGGTCGTAAGTTGCATAGGTGGTAAGTTGATCAATACCTGTATATGAAAGCCATCTGAGGTAGATGAAAGCTAAACAAGAATATCATGTAAATAGAAAATAAACAACTATATGTCAAAAACAGACAAGGGCATTTTTAAAGCTCTAAAATTACAGAATGATGCACAGAAAGATCATGCAAATTGTTGTAAACTTACTGAATAGCATGTGTGGCTGAATGCACTTAAAACTTTAAGAACTGACTGCAAGACACTGTACCCCAACATCCCCAGCAAACCCATCCAAGCAGTAAGTGATCCACTGATCAGCATGAGTTGCAACAGCACAAATGATGGTGAGGTAGCCCATCTCTAGTGACTCAAAGGAAGCCAAACCAAAGGATGCATTGTGTTCATGTAGACAAAACCAACAACCAACAACCAAAAAGGGGCAAAGTATTATCAAAACCTGTCTTACATCTAAAGCATACATTTTTCTGTCAGAAATAACATAAACAAGCTGGGTTTGTAGATTTCCTTGATAAGTGATTTTACTGGCATTATGAGCCAACCCCCTACTTATAGGAGAGGTTAGAAAACAGCAGCCTGGGGAGTGATGCCAAGGTGTGTTCCAATCCTGACTTTGTCACTGAACAGTTATACAATGTCAGTCAGTCACACTCTCTAAACCTCTGTTTCCTCATCTGCAAAATGAGGATAATAACAAGCCCTGCTTCTCATGGTGACTGTCAGGGTTAAATGGAAATGTGTTTAGGAAAGACTTAGCACAGGAGCTGTCCTCAGTAAGCCTTCAATAAGGCTTTGTTTCTGCTTTTTACTTTTTTTTAAATTTCAATTTTAAAAATATTGTTTTACGTATATTGATCCTGACCCCACATTCTCTATAAGAGCTATAAATGTTTCATTAATACATTCACCCATTCTTATATACTGGTCCTTCTCTAGATATTTTATACGACTGTGGAAAGGAGTTTCCGGCTAGTGCAATGACTCACATCTGTAATCCCAGAACTCTGGGAGGCCTAGGTGGGTATATTGCCTAAGGTTAGGAATTCAAGACCACCATGGCCAACGTGGTGAAACCTTGTCTCCAATAAAAATACAAAAATTAGGTAGGCATGGTGGTGGGTGCCTATAATCCGAGCCACTCGGCAGGAGAATCACTGGAACCCAGGAGGCAGAGTCTGTAGTGAGCCAAGATCCCACCACTGCATTACAGCCTGGGCAACAGAGAAAGATTCTGTCAAAAAAAAAAAAAAAAAGAAGAAAAGAGAGAAAGAGAGAGAGAGTGAGAGGAAGAGAGAGGGAGGGAGTTTCCTAACTTTGCTACTATTGACTCTCTACACCTGACCAAATTAAATAGCAGTATGTTCAAAAACATTCCTCTGTATGAGAAGTCATCATTACACACCATCAGTAATTTCTTACAACATTTCATGAAATGGAAAGTGACTTAGAAACATGAGACATGTGGAATTGATTAAGACTAATGCACTTCCCTTCTCCATTCTAGGGCTCGTGAGTCCTCAAGTTTAAGAGAAGTTGACAATACAAGGGAAAGGCAACAGAAACAGAGGTGTCATTAAGCCTGGAGAAGACCACACCACCAGAATGCAGATGACTAGGCTTCTGTGATTGCTTGTGTCACATTTGATCTGGCATGGCAGAAAGCAACATGACTCTAAGGATTTCTGTCATACCCCACTCCCTACTGAGTAGGGGTCAGGTACAAAGGCTTCCTAAGATACCAGGGCTTCCTCAGATATGGTGGAATTTGTGGAATTGGTGGAATTCCTCAGATATGGCACTACTCATAATAGAATTCCTCAGATATGGCACTACTCATAATAGAATTACGTGTGGCACTAATCGTAATAGAATTGCTCTGTTATGATTCATTGAAACTACAGTTCTCATTTCTGAAAATGCCAGTCCTATCTCTTCCTTTCCCTATTCCTGTTCATAGCTGTCCCAGCTTCGTAAAGCCCAGTGCCCAACCCCACCCTATGTCTGCATCTCTGTTAACTTCCTGGCCTTTCCAAGCCCAGTGCAAATCCAACTTCCTCCACAATGTCTTCCCAGGTTTTCCATAGGTGTATTTACTCTCTTCTTCAGTCTTTTAATTTTTCTATTTATTTATTTATTTATCTTATTTTTTATTGTACTTTAGGTTCTGGGGTACATGTACAGATCATGTAGGATTGTTGCATAGGTACATACATGGAAATGTGGTTTGCTGCCTCTATCCCCCCGTCACCTATATCTGGCATTTCTCCCCATGTTATCCCTCCCCAACCTCCCCACCCTCTACTGTCCCTCCCCTGCTCCCTTCCAACAGACCCCAGTGTGTGATGCTCCCCTCCCCGTGTCCATGTGTTCTCATTGTTCAACACCTGCCTATGAGTAAGAACATGCAGTGTTTTTCTGCACTTGTGTCAGTTTGCTGAGAATGATGGTTTCGAGATTCATCCTTGTCCCTACAAAGGACACGAACTCATCATTTTTTATGGCTGCATAGCATTCCATGGTGCATATGTGCCACACCTTCCTTTTCCAGTCTATCATCATTGGCATTTGTGTTGGTTCCAGGTATTTGCTATTGTAAACAATGCCGCAATGAACATACACACGTGTGTATGTGTCTTGTATGTGTCTTTATAACAGAAAGATTTATACTCCTTTGGATATATACCCTGTAATGGGATTGCTGGGTCAAATGAAATTTCTATTTCTAGGTCCTTAAGGAATTGCCACACTGTCTTCTACAATGGTTGAACAAATTTACACTCCCACCAACAGTGTAAAAGAATTCCTATAACTCCACATCCTCTCCAGAATCTGTTGTCTCCAGATTTTTTTTTTTTTTTTTTTTTGGAGACAGAGTTTCACTCGTTACCCAGGCTGGAGTGCAATGGTGCGATCTCGGCTCACCGCAATCTCCGCCTCCTAGGTTCAGGCAATTCTCCTGCCTCAGCCTCCTGAGTAGCTGGGATTACAGGCACGCGCCACCATGCCCAGCTAATTTTTTGTAGTTTTAGTAGAGACGGGGTTTCACCATGTTGACCAGGATGGTCTCGATCTCTTGACCTCGTGATCCACCCACCTCGGCCTCCCAAAGTGCTGGGATTACAGGCGTGAGCCACCGTGCCCGGCCTGTCTCCAGGTTTTTTAGTGATCGCCATTCTAACTGGCGTGAGATGGTATCTCGATGTGGTTTTGATTTGCATTTCTCTAATGACCAGTGATGATGAGCATTTTTTCATATGTTTGTTGGCCTCATATATGTCTTCTTTAGAAAAGTGTCTGTTCATGTTCTTTGCCCACTTTTGAATGGGTTTGTTTTTTTCTTGTAAATCTGTTTTAGTTCTTTGTAGATTCTGGATATTAGCCCTTTGAAAGATGGGGAGATTACAAAAATTTTTTGCCCATTCTGTTGGTTGCCAGTTCACTCTAATGATTGTTTCTTTTACTGCACAGAAGGTCTGGAGTTTAATTAGATCCCATTTGTCTATTTTGGCTTTTGTTGCCAATGCTTTTGGTGTTTTTTTAATGAAGTCCTTGCCTATGCCTATGTCCTGGATGGTTTTGCCTAGGTTTTCTTCTAAGGTTTTTATGGTGTTAGGTCTTATGCTTAAGTCTTTAATCCATCTGGAGTTAGTTTTAGTGTAAGGTGTCAGGAAGGGGTCCAATTTCTGTTTTCTGCACATGGCTAGCCAGTTTTCCCAACACCATTTCTTAAACAGGGAATCCTTTCCCCATTGCTTGCTTTTGTCAGGTTTGTCAAAGATCAGATGGTTATAGATGTGTGACGTTGCCTCCAAGGCCTCTGTTCTGTTCCATTGGTCTATATCTCTGTTTTGGTACCAGTACCATGCTGTTTTATTTACTGTAACCTTGTAGTATAGTTTGACATCAGGTAGCGTGATGCCTCCAGCTTTGTTCTTTTTGCTTAGGATTGTCTTGGATACGTGGGTTTTCTTTTAGTTCCATAGGAAGATTAAGGTGGTTTTTTCCAGTTCTGTGAAGAGCGTGATAGGTAGCTTGAGGGTATATGCTGAATCTATAAATTACTTTGGGCAGTATGACCATTTTCACAATATTGATTCTTCCTAACCATGAGCATGGAATGTTTTTCCATCTGTTTGTGTCCTCTCTTATTTCCTTGAGCAGTGGTTTGCAGTTCTCCTTGAAGAGGCCCTTTACATTCCTTGTTAGTTATATTCCTAGGTAGTTTATTCTTTTTGTAGCAGTTTTATGGGAGTTCGCTCTTGATTTGGTTCTCTTTTAATCTATTATTGGTGTATAGAAACGGTTGTGATTTCTGCTCATTGACTTTGTATCCTGAGACTGCTGAAGTAGCTTATCAGTTTCAGGAGATTTGGGGCTAAGACAATGAGGTCTTCTAAATATAAATCATGTCGTCTGCAAATAGAGACAATTTGACTTCCTCCTTTCCTAATTGAATACCTTTATTTCCTTTTCTTGCCTGATTGTTCTGCTATCCACACTCTAATATACTGTTTTTTAAGAAAGGTTTCATACTGTCACCCAGGCTGGACAGCAGTGCTGCAACCTCGGCTCACTGTAGCCTCAACCTCCTGGGATCTAGCCATCCTCCCACCTCAGACACCTGAGTAGCTTGGACTACAAGCAGGCACACAACCACCACCGACTAATTGTTTGTTTGTTCTTTAGAAAGCGCATCTCACTATGTTGCCCAGGCTAGTCTCAAACTCCTGTGCTCAAGAGAACCTCCTGCCTCAGCCTTCCAAAGTACCAAAGTACTTGGATTACAGGCATAAGCTACCATGCCCAGCCTCACATTATGACTTTTGAAAGCTATTTAATATCCTCAGGCTTGATCAAAGGTACCATTATTGATTTGAATATATAGTTAGGACCATGTGAGATATAATATCCCAGAAAGAAAAGGCACCGAAATACTGAATTTGATCTTCAACATGCCAAAGTCAGTTTTCGCAATCCATTCCTCCCATGAATATTGGTAGCTCCTATTATAAGCCAGTCTCTGTGTCACTTGAGATAAGAGAAAATTAAGACAAGCTCTCTCTTCAAATACCTGGGAGTCAGAATGGGGCTAGTCTAACAGAGAATTAAATCTCAAAATATAGACACATAATATGATTCAGGTTTTTATTTAAAGCACTGCTCACAAATTTCCATGCAGTTTCCATATGTTCAACACAAAACATTTTGGAATTTTTGCTTCCAATATTTCCAAATGCAAAAGCACTCTGATTTTTATATATTTCCCTATAAAGACACTGGTTAGAAAAATTCAAGGTCTTAAAAATACAAAAAAGTAAAATCAAAACATTTACTCAATAATTCTCTTTTAAAAATTACTTAGTTGAGATGTGGCATCTCAGAAATACATTCAACTCCATAGTGGAAAAAAGGGTAAATATTTTTCTGGGTTATAGGACTAAGCTTTTGAAAGCTATTATAATGGCATGATTCACATTCCATTAAAATTCCAAAAAAAAAACAAAGAACTCAACATACACATAATCATAATTTTATCTCTCTTTGAATCAGGAAAAAAGTATACACTTGAAGAAGGCCTGCCCTGAAGCTCAGTTTTATTTCTGATAACTATGTAGCTGAAGAAATGGCAGGCTTTCCCTGAAGAGCTTTATCAAGGCAATAAGAGTTAATGAACTTTAGGTAACAACCATAATTTTAAAAGTACTGGAGTACATCACTTGCAGACATTCTTCAATTTATATATGCCAGAAATATTTCCTGGCTTTCAGACTTGAAATTCTGAATAAACTTCTCTCTTGAAAACACTTATTAGTCATATAGTTTTCTAGAACCTGTTAAATGTCAACTTTCATTCACTTAAAAAATACCTAAGAAGTCATATTTGCCAAGAATAGGCCTGAGCACTTTTTAAGACACACTGTCCCTGTTTATAAGGTACTCTTACCCCTGTAAGCCATTCCAATAAATAAAAGCAAATATAAAATAATTTGATATGTATAATAATGTAAATAACACACAAAGTAGAGCAATGGAAGAACATACAATGGTTAAATATGTAGCTTGAGAGCTTACCTCAGAATCTAACTACAGTTTAAAACATGATTTCTTTCAAGAAGACCATTCCAAGCAACTAACACATTACCTTACAGAAATGCAGCTTCTACTGTACGCTGGGGACCACCTGTGACTAGAGAGAGGGCCATTGTGAATCTATGTGTATTTACAGGTGCTCTTCTAGATAGGAATAGTAACAGAGAAATCTAGCTTTCCGTAGTTTCAATGACATAGAGATCATCTATCACAATTTAGAGTTTGCTACTAAATGAGATTAATTTCTATAGCTGTTATTAAAAGGTCTTGATGGTGCTCATTTGGCAAACAGATCCCTTCTTTGATTTCTAATGATACTTTTTTTAAAAAACAAAGTATCCACAATAGTCTCTTCATACAGGAAAATGCCTAAGACATCTGAATGTAAAAGATAATATAAATAGAGCAATGAGTGATAAAGCATGCTGATTTATCACCTTCATGTTAAACCCTTTGTAGGAAGCCAAATTATTCAGTAAAAACACTGAGTGTAAACCACCAATATGAACTAAGAATATTATTTTTAAAAATTAAAAGATACTTACTACTCATTGCCACTTTAACGAGTGCAATAAATAAGAATAAAGCTAGTGATGTCAACAAACAAGGAAAGTCCATTAAGGGAGCAATTATTACTTGTTGCTTATTTTTTTCAACAGCTCATTGTTAACGTCAAGTTCCCCTTCATCCTGCTAATTCAATTAATTATCTCATGAAAGAACAGTACATATGAACATCCTGGTTACTTTCAGGCCTGAGATCAAGTTGATTAAAAAAATGAGCAGGAGGCCATAGGGCTTAACTGTAATGCTTGGGCAAATGTCCCTGGAATTTTAAAAGCATTTATGGGGTATTCCCTATGTATGAGGAGACCAGCATCTTTCCTGGGTGAGGATAAAATCCAAAACCTGCCTCAAAGAGATGTGGGGTGGGCGAAGGGAGGGCATTGCTACTGTGCCTCCAAGGCCATCAGGCCCCGTGCGCCTGATGTGCATGAGACCTATCCAGCCCCTTGAGTCCAATACTGCACAGTCTGAGGTGACAGTGTCTAGAACACAGGGACTTCTACAACTGCTCCTTTTTCCTTAACTTCTCTTCTCTGCATTGACACAATTGTTTTGATTGATTGATACAAATATTTTTTCAAATCCCCTCAATCAGGATGTAGCTCTTTCTTCCATAAATCCCACTTACTCTATATCCCATTTATATGGCATTTATATTTGAATTACCTGCATACTTACCTTATTTTCTTCCATATTTTAATGAGATACTTAAGAACAAGACGTACCATACTCCTAGCTGAGATCCTATTGGACTATAGGCACAAAATAAACACTTAATGAATAATTCCTGAAATTACATAGAGCTAGATCAGTATGCTATTTTGCATTATTTGCTGAAACTTCCCTCACAGTCACCAAAGCTGACAGCTTCTTCCAGCACTAGAGAAGCAAGAAGCCACCTAGGCCACCAGGAGCACTGTCCCCTTCTAAGGGATATCCTGACAGCAGCTTTATCTCATAAATCTTCCCTGGTTGACAAAGTCAAATTCCAGGAATAAACTTATTCCTGACAAGCTGGCCACAACCAACTGTGCTAGGTGTTCCAACAAAAGGCAAAAGTACAGAATGACAGATGCCAGAAGGGAAATAGGTGTCACCTTAAAGCAAATCCCTGGGCCTGGGAAGGGCCTGGACTCCTCTCTTCCCAATGTCTTGGACATAAAAATCTTCTTCCACAACTCTTCTCTCTCTATCACATGCTGACCCTGGAATACTCCTGAAGGTCATCATCTGGGATTTAGTTTTGCCCAGCACTTAACCTGTCTTCAACATTTGCAGGAATAAAGGTAGAAGCTTCAGTCCTTCAACAATTGGCAAACAATACCCAAGAAAAAGCCCCAGATATTTAAGCAGCTTTTCTGGAAGGACCACCTTGTATATTTCCCCCACAGAATAATTCCTTCTCCATTATTCTCTCTCCTTTCTTCTAGCAGAGATTTCTTCTCTGAGGAATAAAGCTCCCTTAGAGAAGCCAAAGGGACTGACAAAAGAGGGTGTGTGGCACTAAAACAAGTTCAGAAAGACAAAGAACAAATCCTGCTCCTTATTTCCACTCAAAAAGCCCAAGTAAGTCTTTCAAAAGTGCTACCAGGCTGGGAAGTAGCTTACACCAGCAGATACGTGAGAGCATGACAAAATATGACGCCATATGCTCAGTATGTCTCCATGAAGGCACTACTGGAGAATGTTTTTAATTTTAAAAAAATCTTATAGCTCTTTGTTTATGCTCCATGAAAACATAGAAGGTACATGTAGTAAAAACTAACTTTAATCCATCTCCTTTACCATAAAATGTGAAGTACGGTGTTGCTGTCCATTAAGGAAATCATCATTCTACATGAATGTAAACATCTTCTGTTACCAACCATTATAATGTTGAGATACACATTTGAAATGGAAACTTACATTATTCTAGGTAATAAAATTATCATCAGGAAGGTTTTCTAAAGCAACTATGGTAGCAGCAAATTTTTAAATTATCGTCTAACAGGCTGCTGATATCAAATAAATTAAAGTAAATAAAAATAAGATTAAATGTGTAAATAATGTATTGCTTCACTCCCATCATAGATAAAGTCATTACATTAAAGAATTTTTATTTAAAATTGAGAACATTCGCCAAAATTATCATATTTGAATTTCCCTGGTGGTTTATGGCATTATTTTATTTACTTGCCAGACCACAATTAAATCTTAAATTTTATCTCACTCACAACAAAATCCTTTTTGCCTATTTACCCATTTGGAAATCTCATATTTTAAGTATAAAATTCTGTGCTTGATGATTTGCTCTTGACAAAATTACATTATCAATATTTAAAACATTTTTTGTAATCCAATAGTAAAACTGGTCAGTGTCATTCCCAAGGCACACATTAAAATTTTACTTTAAAATGTTACTACAAGATTAGTCGAGGTTATAAACTAGAAACAAAATCATTCTGAATAAGTCAGAAGCAATAACCTTATTTTATACCAATTCTTTCTACAACAGCTTATATTTGTCTTATAAAACAGTCAAAGTCTTTTTGAAACTATTACTTCTTTCAGGAGCTTTCTCTTTGATGTCATTAACTTTGGTCTCTTTTTTTATCTTCAATCTTAAATTAATTCCCTGGGAAGATTGTAGCTTGTTGGCTGGTTTGAGGGATTAAATAGAAGGGTTTATAAAGAAAAGCAGCTTTTGATACAATGCTATTACAACATGATCACTTGCCCATAAACTGTTAGAGACAGAGTTTTTTTTTTCATGTAGACACAAATGTTGTTCCTTTCAAAAGCCATTATCATGCAACAAATAGAATGAGGATTATTTTTGTAGCTTATATTCATCTTACAAATAAATAATCAGTTAACATGACTCCAGGATAACAGGCAATGATTTTTGGCTCCTCTATATTTGCTTACAGATTTTTTTTTTTTTTTGGCAATCCATTTTCATCATGATATGCTAAATGGACCCTTCTTATACACTACTGAAAGGATTTCACTGATACTATGCAATAAGAATATGCCTGAAATATTCTAACTTAACACTAGCTGGGCGGTGGGAGGGGGTGCTTTGGGGTTTCCACCATTTAAGACAGCAATTGTGTAGCAATAAAAGACTATTGTTTAAGGCAAAAGTATTTTTTAAATTAACACTGAATACATTTTTTAGAGTAGTTTTTGAGAAAACATTTTACATAACAAGAGATTCTACAGTAAACATCAGCTTTTTGCTTTAGAGTTTTGCCCCCAGCATCTATTCTCTTTGGTTGGTAAGGGCACTCTGGGTCCTTTTGAGGGATTCATCTCTCCACTAGGTGCAGACCTGGGGTCCTTGTCCCACAGACCTTTCTCCAAAGGACTTTGGGTCTTGACTGGCATGGTGCAAGGAAAAAGACATGATTCTATTTCATTTTCTGCAACATGCCCTGAAAAGACGGGGAGTAGTTGGGTAGCAGATCCTGCTCCCTAAAAATAACCTCCATCTTTCTCAATCTTTATTCTAAGCCCAGTTTTCTGGCCTGCCACAGGATTCTGCCAGCTTCTTCGTGTCCTTATAATAAATTCCTTTTCTGCTTTAAGTGAACTGCAGTCCAATTTTATTGCTTGCAACCAAAGCATCCTAAATGATACAGGTGCCCTCTTGTGAGATTATCTCTATGATAAAGTAATGGATATTGACTCCATTTTAACCATCAGGTGCTCTTTCTAGAGATGAATTACAGCCTGACCTTGCCTAGTGGCTCTGAGGAGTCCTTAGGAGGTAAACTCAAAAAAATCAATAGCCTTAGGAGAACTACTTCTAATGGTTTTGCTTTTGCTGTGTAGCCCTAGGACTTGGTAACTGATCAACATGGTAATGCTACATTTGCCCATTCATACAATCAACCTTCTAACCTTATGACCCACAATCTCAATTTTATGTGTAGAAATTCCAGTGACTCAGTTCCACAGACTCATTCTCACAATAAAATAAGCAATGAATTAATCCATATTATGTCTTTGTCTCCCCTGTAAGAAACATTAAGAGTCTGGATATAAATACAAAGCTAGATGGGGATAGCATTGAATCTGTAAATTACTTTGGGCAGTATGGCCATTTTCACGATATTAATTCTTCCTAACCATGAACATGGAATGTTTCTCCATCTGTTTGTGTCCTCTCTTATTTCGTTGAGCAGTGGCTTGTAGTTCTCCTTGAAGAGGTCCTTTACATTCCTTGTTAGTTGTATTCCTAGGTATTTTATTCTCTATGTGGCAATTGTGAATGGAAGTTTGTTCTTGATTTGGCTCTCTTTAAATCTGTTATTGGTGTATAGGAATGCATGTAGGGCTGATATCCAAAATTTACAAAGAACTAAAACAGATTTACAAGAAAAAAACTAACAAGCCCATTCAAAAGTGGGCAAAGGATATGAACAGACACTTTACAAAAGAAGACATACGTGAGGCCAACAAACATATGAA